CTGGGAGGGTTTGGAGGTGGCTGCAAAGCCTTCGGAGCTGGAGGCCAAGGAGGGTTCGGATTCGGGAGCGGAGGAGGATTCGGAGGTGGCTACGGAGGAGGTTGTTTCGGTGGAGGCTTCGGTGGTGGCTTTGGTGGTGGTTCCTGTGGAGGATTCGAGGGAGGGATGGGAGGACAAGGATTCCCTCCGTGTCCTCCTGGAGGGATCAGGGAGGTGACCATCAACCAGAGCCTCCTGGCACCTCTCAACCTGGAGATCGACCCCGAGATCCAAAGGGTTCGGATGCAGGAGCGAGAGGAGATCAGGAAACTCAACGACAAATTCGCCTCCTTCATCGACAAGGTTGGCAAGGGTTGGACCTGGGAGGGTTGGGATGGGAGTTGGGGTTGAGGGATCTGCCAGAGGGAGGGAAGGAGCTGGAGATGATCATCCCAGAGACAGGAGTTGGTCAATTCCCCCCCAAAATTCCATGAGGGTATTGTAGGAGGGAAAAAAAAAGGGAATTTTGGGGGTTTGGGGCTGTTTTAAGGGTGAAAATGGGAATTTTGGGATGGTATTTTGCAGGAGAAAATGGGATTTTTGGGTGTTTTGGGCTCCTGTTTTAAGGGGAAAATGGGAATTTTGGGGTGGTATGTTGAAGGAGGGGAAAAAGGGATGCAAAAAGGGGGGGGAATCAATGGAATGGTGGGAAAAAAAAAAGGGATGCAAAAAGGGGGGAATCAATGGAATGGTGGGAAAATGGGGAGAAAATCAGTATAAAGATGGGAAAGAGATCAGTGAAAGGTGGGGAAATGGGGGAAATCAATAAAATGATGGAAAAATGGGGGAAGTTGATAAAAAGGTGGGAAAGTTGGGGAAAAATCTATATAAAGATGAAAAACGGGGAAGAATCAATATAAAGATGGAAAAATGGGGGGGGAAGTCAATAAAAGGGTGGGAAAATGTTGGAAAAACTGAGGAGAAGAGGAGAAAATGGGGAAAAATCAATATAAAGATGGGGGAAAAATCAATATAAAGATGGGGGAAAAATCAATAAAAAGCTGGGAAAATGG